CCTTATATAATGCCACCGTAGACGAAGCAAGACCCCTCTCATATACCCAAGTCATAGAGCGGAATATGGTAGATACTTTAGGATGAAGAGGGTTTAAATTCCTTTTAATACACCACTGATGATAAGTATTCCACTTCCGGTGATAAACGGCCATGGCTGGCCTATACAAAGATTTAGTTAAATACGAAGAAATCTTAGAAGTTAAACCCTTATGTCAGGCAAAGGACTGCATAACTTCCAAACATGAAGATTGAGCTTTTGAACATCTGGGTAAAGAATGTATGATCGAGGTTATCTCAACAGAGACTGCCAATGTGGAAGAGGTAGACATTTCTGCAGATACCGAAGAAGCAGAAACCATGTTTGAGCTGGCCAATATGGTGCAACCAAGAGAACTCGACAGGGAGTGGATCGAACCACAGTGAAAACCTGGGGCAATAGCTGAATAAGGGGAAAGGCATAGATATGTAAACCTGTCTAGTCTTGACTGAATGCATCTACTGTCAATGTTTGAGGATGAGCTATCAGAGACTAAAACAACTGCAGTTGAGAATACTAATGAGTTGCCAAGGCATTGATCATTGCAGACCCAAATTGAGAGCAAATCTAATGAAAAACCTCATGATGTAGTATCCATTCCATCGGAAGAATCCGTTTGGGTTGGGACAAGTGATCTGCAATTAAATTCATCACTCCTGGAACATGACGTGCTAAAAGACTGATACGATGGGAAAGACCCCAGTAGAGAAGATCCAAGGTACAAAAACAAAGGTCTCGAGAATGTGTGTCTCCTTGACGAGAAATCTCAGATATCACCATGGAATTGTCGGAATACATCATGACAATTTTTCCCTTCAAGAGAGACAGACCTTGAACCATTTCCGGTGTACTGCAAGGAGTTTGAGAACAATGATATAGAGGGTAGACTCATCTTCCATCCAAATACCTTGGAACTCCTGACCTTGAAGAAAAGCTCCCCATCCCTGAAGAGATCTGTCTGTGAACTGATGGATCTTGGGACAAGGTGGTGGAATGGGTACTTTAATAGTAGTGTTGCTATGATCCAACCACCATTTGCAATCGAAGATGTTGCTCCTGAGTAATAAGACAGGATGATCCACAGGAACGGAATGCATAATCCATTAGTCTTGCAGTGACCACTGAAGGGACCTCATATGTGCCTGTCCCAAAGAGATGAGGGGCTTGAGGGATGCCAATATCCACAAAAGAAAGAGAACCATCCGCGCAGTAGAAGGAGACATAAGTAAAAGCCTGACAGTTCTTTTGATGGCTTGAAACCTGATAAGGGTTGGCTAAGCACAACTTAAATCTTTCAGCATGGGCTCAGTCCCTAGGATTTGATTTATTACATGAGCAATATCTCAACAATTAGAAAAGATAAGATCTTCTTATTTTATATTCTAGCTTGTCAATATCGGTAATTTGAGTTTTTAATTCATACAAAACTACAGACTTAGTATTTTGACTTCACAAACATCTAATTTTAACCAGTGCTACATTCAACATACCATGTGACACACAAAAATCAATGTTTACTTGTGTTGTTTTAATATTTACTTTTAAATTAAGAAACTGAGTAATGTATAGTACTAAAATTTGAATTATAATCTACAGTTTCATACGGCCTTTCACCCGTGACCCATCTCGAAAGGTTTAAGTGAGTATTGGACAAGATATTGCATCGGTGACAGAACAGATTTCTCCAGTCTAATAAGGAAGCCTGTTTTTGTGGCTTCTGAAAGGAGAATCTGATAGTGTCGTTCTGCTAATTGATGAGAATATTGCCAGAAGGAGCCAGTCGTTCATATAATGAGGTGTGCACAGGCCCAAGGAATGCAGATGATGAGAAAAAGCTCAAACAACTCTGCAGAAGAACAAAGTGTTGAAGGAAGACCAAAAGGTAGAGCCCTGAACTGCAGCACCTGACTTTTGTGCCCAAACCTGAGAAACCTCTGGGAAAATTCTGCTATGGGAATATGGAGATAAGCATTGGTAACATCGAACTTGGTCATCCAGAGCCCTGGCACAAAGTGCCATCGTAGGTTGAGAAAAGATTCCATTGTAAAGCAAGGACGATCTAAAAATTGGTTGAGTCAAGACAGATCAATGATTGGATGCCAATCTCCTGTCTTTTTTGGTACAATGAATAAATGGGAATAAAATTTCGGAAAAATGGAATCGACCCTCTCTACTGCCCTTTTTACTAACACCTCTCTTATGCCCTAGAAATGCTGTGGATCTGTTGGAGGTAAAAAGGCAACTGGTTGTGCAGATAATGGTGGAGATGATGTAAACTGAATGACCAACCCTGAAGTCAGAACATGGAGTACCCATGGATCCCTGGTGAAAGAACTCACCAGAAAGTGATGTTATCGTGCTCCCACTGTTCCCCCACCCACAGGATAGTCACTGACGCTGTTGTCAATGGTCCAGCAAAGATTCTCGAGAATATGGACAAACTATATTATGGGAACTAACAGACCTGGGAACCGACAGATGGGGTCGGGAAACACTATGAGCAGACACTCCCAAATTATCACCAGAAAAGCAAGAAGACAAGTACGATAAAGAATAATGTAAACGAGCTGAATCAATTCATGATTCTAATGTCTCTGAAACTCTGGCAAACAACATGGGACCGAAAAAAGGAGCTTCATGTAACTCTCTAAGGGTAGAAAATGCTAAATGAACACTTTCTAACAAAGCATCTATACCCAATAAATTCCAACAGCAAATCAGCCAGGAAACCAGAGAAAGAACTGAAGAAGACAATCTGACTGAGGTAGGCATCAGTAAAACCCCAACTCATCCTCAAATTGCTGAGGAAAATGTTGATAAGCTTCTGACAAAAGTTGGATCAAAGATAAATACCTAAGGACAATCGTGAGAGTAAGACAAATCTGAGAAAACTGTGATTCTGTTTAAAGTGATCACAGGTTCCACACTAGACCCCCACAGATCCAAAAGAGAGTCCATCCATTGAGAGTCTAAATATACCTTTTCCTGGCAGTGATAAGCCAAAGCATTCAGTTTCGATAAAAGTGGGGGACAAGGCATAGCTATCCCATCGCATAACTGAACAGTACGAACAACAATATCAGGAGAAGGAGGAAACTAAGTAGTCACTTGCCATCCTCTCTGCCAAAAAAGGAAGTGGTTATGTGAAATGCAATAGGAAAGACCTCCAAAACCTCACAAACCCAAGTAACCAACTGAAGAAAAGGGGCTGGAGGTGACTGATCAAGATGACCCTCTGTTGAGGCCGACCTAGTAAAAGAAGGAGCCTGAAAAAAGCAAGTCCAAATTCTACCAGATGGTCTTTGGTCATTTGCAAAAGCAATCTCAGAACCCCCCCCCCCCCCTGTGTTCAGTCTTGGGCACCTTACCTTAAGAAGGACATTTAACTATTGGACTACTAGTACAAGGATAATACCTGTTATTGAAAGATTTTCATATGAGAAGAGGTTAAGCAGGATATCCTAAACTTTTTTTTTCTGAAGAAAGGAAGATTTAGAAAGGACCTAATCAGTGTTTAAGATCATTAATGGAATTTATAGTACTGACGCATTACCTTTTCTTCTATTTAATGGCGAGAAGGGTAAAACACAAATATAAATTTTGTCTGGATAGAAGTCACCTTCAGCTTAGAAAGTTTGTTTAATTTTTCTAATTGAGTGGCTGGCCTATGAAATGGGTTGTTTTTAGATGGTTGCAGCAAACGTAAAGAATTTTAACCTTCTGGAAGATTTTATACATGTCTAAATAATCAGGGCTGGACTTTCTTCTTCCATTTTTTTTTAAATGTATGAGACAGCCTTCTTGGATTAGCATGCCCCTTGTTGTCCCTTAAATCAGTGGTTCCAGAACTCTTTTACTCTGAGGATCCCTTTATGTGAATAAAGTTTGAGGTCCCCCAACCTATAACTAGCATGGTGATTGAAAAACAGTGCCATAGTAAAAACAATAACATCTTCTTTCGACATACTGTGTCATATATTAATTCAACATAATTTTATTGGCTTATTGTTTATTTATATTTAGAATTAATTTCAGCCTGGCATGGCCAGGTGGTTAAGCTGCTCGACTCGCAATCTGAGGGTCACGGGTTCGAATCCCCGTCACACCAAACATGCTCGTCCTTTCAAAGAGGGAAGGCTGTCAAGTGGGTTGCATCCTTGACGTAAGAAACAGCTTTAGAAACGATAGCAGAGCAAGATCTGCCATCGGCTCAACAGTCCGCAAGGACTATGAGAAATGTAAAAAAAAATGTAAGAATTAATTTAGCATATTTGTTTTTGAACCAAGGGGGCAGCAGCTCTCACTTTAGGTAATTCTGCTTTAAGTGTTAATTGTTATCCATTAAGCCTGTTAGTACGAGTACTGGCACAGTGGCAGTGCTACTGAGTGGTTTTGCAACAACTTCTAAGTTTAATTGTATGTCTATACAGTATACTTCTAGTACTAGTAGTATGCTTTGGACGTTTACGGTTTAGTATTCTTACACAACTGGCATACATAATTAACTTGTAACGTGTGTTAAGGTTCAAAGTCAAATAAATTCATGGTCTAAGAAAAAAAATTACATTAATAATATTATTATGCTATTAATAATAGCATACGCAGCTACACAAATGGTTACCTACTCTACCACCAGTACCAACGAACAGTAAACTTACAAGTTACACTGTGATCTAAGACTTAAATTATTTACAATTTACAGTCTACATCATGTTCAACACAATTTACAACTTTCGCTGCCATGCCGATTTGTCATATAAACAACTTGTATTCTATAACAGTATAACTATACGTTGTTTGTTCAGAGATCCGTTCGTGCAATGTGGCAAATATTACCGTGTTATTCAACTTATTGTTAACTACTATTACTATTAGAACAGAAGTTTGCAAATCTTCATCTCAGTATCACTTGCAATAATACTAATTATTTCAGTATAATGTAAACAAGTTTCCCAACTCACCTAGACATTATGTTTCTTTCAAAACATAATTTTATTATATTCTATACAATATAATCTATTTCCCGCGTCGGACAACTACGAATCTTACTTATCGTAATTTTGTTAACTAGTCTACCCATCAAAGGAAAAAGCGCTACCTGTTAGAAAACGAAAACATTCCTAATATAAAAATATGTATATATTTAAATACTAACATCTTTTTTACCGTTAAAACTTGCAAACTCAGGAATGATCGCATCAGCGATAGAAACGTCGTACCTGTTTTAAAAATATTCTTCCTTTCTGTAAAAGCTGTAGCTCATAATGAAATAATCAGCAAGTAAACTCCAAACGTAACTATGTTTTATTTTTATTTGCTTTAGCGCAAAGCTAAACCATAGGTTAACTAAAAAAAAAAACGTTTATTTTCTAAAATGTGGGTTCCTCGTTATCAAAGTTAACTAAACTCTATTCACCACGGGTAATCGAAACCCATATTTTAGCATCGTAAGTCGGTAACTTATCGCTGACCCACTGAGGGATATATAACAAACGTAAGAAACTATATTTTCGTCTTTAATTGTTTTTTATTCTGTGTTTTTTCTAAAATCACGACTAAATTTCCCTATCTCAAATTCTTCCTCCTCCTTCTCCCCCCCCCCTTTATTTTGTCCCGTAATTAGTTAGGTAGCTCAATTGTTAAGATAACAGAAGCTACTAATATTTTGATAATCGAAAGTATACGAATATACTTTGATAGATAAATAGGTACCACTGTTTGTTTGTTGAATTTCGTGCGAAGCTAATCGAGGGCTTTTTGCGTTGGCTGACTCTAATTTTAAAGCGATAGGCAACTAGTCATCACCAACTCTTGGGCTACTCTTTTACCAACGAATAGTGAGATTGACCATCACACTATAATGTCTATAGATGCAATTTGTTTATCTGTTTGTTGTTAAGCGCAGAGCTACACAACACACTATCTGTGCTGTGGCTATCACGGGTATCGAAATTTGATTTTTAGTGTTATAATCCTTAAGCATTACCACTGAGCCATTGTTTAATTTTGTGCAAAGCTATTTGAAAGCTACTTTTGTCAGACTGAATATTTGGATTTGAATAAATTTTTACGATGCACCATTGAGCAAGAATGTGGTAATTATTGTATAGTATCACATAGATTCAAACTCAACTCATCAGCTTCTATATCCAGAACTCTACTTGTTCTCACCATTAATATAAGATGCCAAGACATTTTACCACTAAATTCTTCACATCTCTAGATCTACACTCCTTTAGATGGAATTATTGTTTATCTAATATTAATTAATAAGCGGTTATTTAACCCAAAAAGGTTATTAGGAACGCAAACTATGCCAAGTAAGTTATACAAAATTCACAAATGACGTTCATTCCTAAATGTTCTGAGCTTTAAATTATGATCATTTGTTCGCCCCTATAGGTGATTTGGGTAGTTAATATGTTGACAAACAATAAAATACTACTACAACAACTTTATTTAATTAAAATGACATAGATATACATATGTATTAAACTTTCATATTTTGAAAGCTGAAAATGATTAGCAATTATTCAAACCACATGTTATGACATTATATATCACTGGCAATGAAGAGCTATAGAAATAAAACCACTAACAGAGAAGGAAAACTGCTTTTTAAAACAATATGTACATCATTGTATTTTAAGCGATGATAAATCGTTAGTAAATATTCAACTATAGCTTCACATAAGCAGATTTTTTTACATCGATGATTGAATTATTTAGAAGTGAAACTTCTTGAAGCTGCGCAGAAATTAAAGCTGAAACTTTTACAATTTTTCTTTGTGAAATATACTAAATAAATATCATATAATACTAAATGTCAATTTTGAAAATGCCAATATTTGAGTAAATAATTGCTGAAATACACATACGACTATATTTTTACTTAATTTTTCAAACTTAGCATGCAGGTGTGCATTCGACACCAAAAACAGACATACTGATCATGATAGGGTTAAACAGTTGCGAGATTACCTATTTCACATCATCATCATAACTAAATGATAGTGAACATACGTATCTGCTTCCAGCTTCTCTACCACTGTGTAACTGAGATAATGTCAACACCTCATCTTCTTCCTGACACTGCCTTGAAAAGCGTAGAGTAAAATTCCATAGTTTCTAACTCTGCTCTTAGCTAAAAACCTTACATCTCACCATTTTTCTTGGCTACAGGTGACTCTAAACAGCATCTTACAACTTCTGGGTTAGTAAATGACTGGGACAGAATTATCAAAGATTTGAACTACTGATTCGACACTCTGGAGAATCAAGCATTCCATGGGGTAAAGTTCAAAGCTTGAAATGGAGTCCCACGAGGTCTTTGCACTTTCAAAGATGATTTAAGGCAATTGCACTGAAAAGTATTCTTGATTACATCTTTTAGATCTCAGGGACAGGGACACTGCCTCTCTTATTTATGTAGTATCTGCAGCAACGAGGTTTTAAGCGGTCTAATCAAATGTGTCTTGGAACAGATGAAGAAATAAACTCCAGAGTCAATGATACCTTCCAAAGCTCAAAAACAGTGTTGATCACCAGCTTCATTGCAGTAGTTACCACAAAACATCTAAATTCAGCCACCATGATTCCATAATAAAAGAGGGCTTCCAAAGTCTAGCAGCCCTATGATTGCACCTTAAATACAACAGTAGTTGTACTTTCAAACGCGCTAAGAGTAAGAGATAATAAGCTTCTGCTTAAATGATAGCTTACGTCATCAGTAGTTATGGGAATGTCTCTATTCTGTTGTAAGATTGAACTATCAGACGAGGTTACTATTCTGACTGATTTCAGGTAGATGCATAAAGGTCAATGATGAGCTATAGCTAAATTTTCTTCATCTAGTTTAAATTAATGAAATTTAAGATTGTTCTGAATATTAATTCGGGCAAGTGCTGCACTCTTAATATAATAGTTACTTATTGAAAGAACTATGTGCTTGGTGGTGCATAGTATATACAATAATAATATATTAATATGAAGTTGAAATTTTAGTGGAAAATGGAGCTACCAGAATCTTACATGACTTTGTTACGTCTTACGGAGTCCATGAAAAGCCACTACCTCATATAGATATGCGTAGAAAGACATGTCTCCGACTTTACCTTGACAACGCTGTATGCTGTACAGAAGTTCTTTCTGATCTGGGTTCAAGCATTAGTGCTTTAGAGATAGACCTACTGCACAAATTGTCTGCCAATTTTGATTTCGCAAATGCCAGCCAAACTGCAGTTCTGTGACAAAACCACCCAGTGCCATCTAAATTGAGTTCAAGAACAGTGGACTACATGCATGACATTGAGAGATACGTAACGATACCACCAGATATGCTAGTGATGTTCTAAGGTGTGTTATGTATGCAACTCCTTTTATTGTCACATCTGCTGAATTTATAGAAATGATGTAAGAAGGCTGGTTAAACTTGTTTGAATATATCCAAGTGCTCATGTTAAATCAGTGCTCGCCAGAGTTATGGACATTCGGCTACCCAGCTTACAGCTGGAATGATCATCAGCACAGTAACATAGAAAGAAATGATGCACACGAGCCAAGCAGCTAGTCTACATCTCTGATTGAACGTGCAGCTTCCAGAATACCAGAAGTATCCAGAAGAAGACTGTGCTAAACATGACAATCTAAACATAACAAAAAAACATGAATTACTCAAATAGTTTCATCTCTGTGGATGGTCTGCCACTTTTGAAATGCTTATGGAACTTATATTTATAAAACTGCAATGAGAGAGATGTTTCAGCTATTAGCTTTAGGCCAGATGTTTCAAGTCATAGATAAAAATCTGAGAATAGTATTACAGTGCAACAATGAAACTGAAACGAAGAAAATGCGTATTCACGCAAACAAAAGTAGAGTTGCTAAGTTATATAGTGGTTAAGAGTGGAGTTTTTACAGATCCTATGAAAATAATAGTGATCAAGAACTGACCCTAAATGAGAAATATACAATTTTCTGAGTTTCGTGTTATAATACTGATGGTTTGTGGCCATCTTCAACAAATTGTTCCACCACTGTTGGTTTTGAATAAGACTGATGCATGCTTTTTAGAGACAGGAATCTGAAGACATAATCCAGTCCTTGAACCTTGCTTTGGTCAAAACACTAGTGTTGGCTTATCCTATTCAGGACCATCTTTGACACTAGTGATAGTGGAATTGGAGCAGTTTTATCACAGATACAAAATGTATACTTCTGAATGTCAAACAGTATCATAAAGAAAGTACTTCTTCCATTTGAAGTATTTGCTGAACAGTACAACCATTACTTGCATGGAAGGTAGTAAATGACATGAGTAGACCATCCATCAAATAATTGTTCAAAGCTCTTAAAAAGCTAGAAGGTTTCATTGCAGATTGGATAAAAATACAAAAAAGCACAACTTCATAAAACACCATTAAATAGAATTAAAATACTGTGAAATCATACCCATTTGTTGAATGTTTATTTCCTGGATATCATGTAGCAATCCAGGCTACTACAGCAGCAGCAATCATGCAAATGGTAACATTTGTGCAGTTAGATGGACCCCACAAGTTACCAGTCAGGAATTTTATCTTGGGTTTTATTTGCTGTGCATCAAAGTGAAGAAAGTACATCACCAACTGGAGAGTGTAGTGCTAATGTATATAATATCGGGCTTTTGCATGGTTAGGTAAAGTGCAGGGTGGCATGATGTACTTTTCTTCTGAACCACCTCGACATTTTATCAACTTGTTATGCAGCTAATGGTCGTCAGAGCTCTATGATGGGAGATACTTCAGTCTTCCATAACGTTAGTAGTAGTAGGACCAGATATTATTGTAAATTGTTAGTAACACGCAAAAAAGTTTTTTGTTTTGGTATATTCATAGAGAGACATTGAACAACAATGTAGAAACTGAACCATGTATGTTTCCTCCCGACAAAATGACTATGTTATGGGAACTTTCAAAATGTTGTAGGTATTGGTCTCGAGGAAAACATAAAAAAATAATTGGTTCTTTGTCCAAAACTCAGTAAGGTAATCCTTAGGGGTTGGTCGTTATTGATTACTTCACCATGTTGGCTTAAGTTTATCC